CTTGGACTTAGGATTATAAACCTTGACCTATGTTGGAGACTTTGTGCCCTTAATTGATATTTTGTCTGGAGTTCTTGAGGTTTACCTCAAGACATTGGGTTGTTTGTTTGTTTTGTGTGTAGATTATTGTGATTATATTCTTTGTTTGTAATCTGGAATGCACCCGTATACAGCCGTTACTCTGTCCAATTTTTGTGAAGACTTAATATACTTGAAGTTTAGTTCTCTCAAGAGGTCTAGTATCTTTTCTTGCTTGGTTTCAATCCAAAGAATGAGAATTCTATCTTGACTCATAATGTCAAGATTTGGCTTCTTGTTGGTTAGATGGTTCTTATCCCTAGCTTTTACCTTATGCTTTTGGATAGTCTCTTCTTCTCCTCCCATCTTCTTTAATTTCAAAAATCTTCTTCCTCCTTTTGAAAACTCTTCTTGTTTTGAAACTTGAACCATTTTCATAATAAACTTGGATCTAGATCCATGCATTTTCAAAACCTTTTCATAAGTAAACTTCAATCAACTTAATAATATTGACAATTTTTGTGAGAAGACTAAAATTCAATCAATCTTATTTCAAACCATTTTTCCACTTTGGCTTTTTATTTTAAAACTTTTCTCAAAAAGATTGGACTCTTGTCAATCTTTGTAGTGATGTAAACAACTATACTTCTACAATATGCAGTGAAGAGAGATATTTTCCACTTGGGTGTTGAGTGAGACATTGTTGATTTTAAAATCCAAGTCATATCCTCCACATTGAGATGATGCAAATTCTCCTTTCTCATGATTGTAGGTAGTAAGTATGTTTTCCACACGGACAATGACGATAATGTCATATCTCATAAAATTAACCAACACACTTGCGTTTTAAAAACTTTTAAAAGATGAACTACGTGTACCCTGATCCCCTATTGCACGAAAGGTGGTACATAGGCACTAAAGGTTCGCAACCACGACGGGTGCAAAAATCATAAAAAATATATTTCTTTTCTCATCTCCACAATCTATTTTACATACAACATTTTATAGCCAAAATATACAGATTTTACAAAGAGGTTCCTGCGGAGTACCATAGATGTTTAGGGTGCTAATACCTTCCCTTTGCATAACCAACCCCCTTACCTTGAATCTTCCCCCCTCTTTTTGGTTTACTCGCTCTTTTCCCATTTCTTTGAAAACAACAAAGCATGGTGACGATTTTTATTTTTGATCTGTATAAGTCTAGCCAATCCAATGGCTTAGTCTTAAGCATTTCTACCGCTACAATATTTACACGATAACACAATATATACACTATAACGTAAACTATACAGAATATATACTAAAGTTAAGGTTTATTGAAAAAAAATAAACGAATTAAGTCGATGGATGCTAATTATTCATACTCAAATTCACAATATTTTAGTACTCATCAAACTCTCCCCAACTTAAAACATTGTTTTTCCTCAAACAAAGTCAAACATTTTCAAGAAACAAAAGACGATAATCCAAGAATCACGAATCAACATGTTTTGAAAATGGGAAACAAATGTATGGTTCAAATTAAAAATGCACAAGCAAAGTAAATACTTACCATAATCTTACAACGACAACATAAAAATGAAACAACTCCTAAATATAAAACACATGTCATAAATTATAAAACAATACAATGTTCACAAGTGAATCACACATAGCACACACTTCATCTGTAGATGAAAAAACAAACATGAGGGGCTTAACTCTCACCCAACAATATTGTTAACAATAACTAAATTATGCATAGATCAAAGCAAACTCATATTGAAAAGTATAAAATAAAAATCACAAGGGCTTCAAGAGTTTTGGTGTGGTTTGAGTAACAAGGAAGGCTCATATCTAAAGGTAATTGGAACAAACAACAACTCCTAATTTTATTGGAGTGATCAATTCACAAAGTCTCAAGCACCGCTCAATCAACTTGTTTAACTTTTCCAATTGTTACACCAACACAAAACTTTTTATTTGATATATTATTTTTTATTTCTTTCTCAAAACTTTTTCTTTATTTTTTTCTTTTATTTTCTTTTCTCTTTTCTTTTTATTTTTTCTTTTCTTTTCTACTTCAACCACTTATTTATTGGCATCCTCAAACAACCATCTTACAAACAAGCAATATTGCTCTTCCTAACATAAATATAACACATACAAAGTGACAAATTGGTCCTAACTTTCTAAGGCAAGGAAAAATTCAACCACAATACATGGTTGAGGGTCAAGTGCCGAAAAACAAAAATTAGAATCCATGATGAAGTACTTACCATGCATAAGTTCATAATTCAACACCAAGATGAATTTTAACTAAAAGGCTCAAAGGGATTCACAAATGATCGCTCACTCACAAGGTGAATTACTTTTGGTTAGGTGATTTTTCTCAAAATCAAACAAAATGCCTTGATCATTTCATTATTTTATACAAATCAACATAAATGCAAGATTAAACATAATAAAATTGAGTTAAGACAAAAATTGTTGGGCTCCCGTGCATATAATAAACAATGGAAAGCTTCGGCACAAAAAGGGTTTAGTCCTAAAGTGATTAAAAAATAAACACAAATTGCAAAAGAATGAATGACATGAAAATTGTATAAAAGAAAAGTCTCCTAATCATGCTATGTTCTAGAAAGCGATAAACGAGTATCTTGTTAAGTACCAACTTTTCAAACAATATCATTAACATACATCTGCAAGTAGAAACAACCAATCTTGAAAAATCACCTCAAAATTCCTCAAGATATCGAACCAAAATTGGAGTCCAAAAAACAAACAAAATAATTAGAAAATATTATTATTATTATTATTATTATTTACTAAAAGAACGGGTGAAATTGAATTAAACAAGTTGAAAAGTGAAGATTTGAGAATTTTAAAACTGGTCAAATTTCAACTTGTTTAACCAATTCACCACACTACCTATACTAATATAATAAAAACAATAAAGAAACTAAAAACAATAAAAAATACTTGTTTTATGTTGTAAGTTCGACGCCTGTTATTTATAAACTAACATGTTACTTCTGATGAGCCAAATGCTTTCACTCTCTCCTTTGCTCTTATCTCTTCGAGCTCTAACCGGAACTACACATATAATCACACTTTTGGAAAATGTGAAGAGAAACAAATATATACACTATATTCACAAGTATGCAAAACATGTAAAGTTCACAAACATGCTAAACGTATACAAGTATAAATATAAAAAGTTTCTATTTACACATTATAGACAATATGGACATTATGTTCAAAACTCAAAAACAAAGAAACTATCACGATGCAATTCAATAAAAACACCAATCTCTGACAACAACGCCATTTTGCTCAAGCGGAAAACAAAAGTAAGTATTTTTATAGGTCATATAATATCGTCTCTACAGGGATTAGTGCTACTGAGTTGTCATTCAAAAATTTCTCGCGTTTAGGAGTTTGGGTTAAAATGGGTTTAAAGTGTAAGGTGTGGGAATTAAACATATGAACAAGAAAGAATACATTCTTCAGAAAGGAGAGAAATTTTTGAATTGAATTTCATATACATTTCAAATACTTAAACTTACTACCCTATTTCACTTAACCTAAATTACTCATCAATATCATCACATATCACTCACATAAAAGTTATCTCTAACGCAGAATGGGATATCCATCATATTTCTATGTGTCAGCAATCTTTCAGCATAACACAAAACAACACAGAGGCATTAAGAGTCGATACCTAAGTGATTATTAAACCTAAATCTATCTTTAGAGTTTAGAACCTGATAGATATTCATCATAAGTCTGGATTTAAACTGTATATATCTATAGCAACTCAAGCCCAAACACTTAGCAAGCTAAAAAGGATAAACATCTACAAAGATTTGTAAAGAAAGCTTAATTCAACACCATGAGTAATAAATATGCATACAAGACAAAGTATATTTACAAACAAAACCCTAATACATTAGAGAACACAAAGAGATGAAGAGAGATAAACTGACACTTCTCGAGTTGTCAGGATGATTAGTGAGAATCCACCTCCAAATCAACAAGTTGCAAGCTCCATTTTATTGTTGTCTAAGTGTTATACCCTAATTTTTTCCCATAAGATCCTCTGTAATTTACAAGAATCACATATATTGTTTTGGCAAAATTCCTCAAGATACAAGTTTTTTTCTTCATCAGAATTTCTCCAAGGAACCGGTGCATTAAGATTTGAATTGTGTACTTAAGAATTTATCATGTCTTCATTTAGAATGTTTTTGAGCTAGTGTTTTATTCCTCTCAACATCTCAAGTCACTTTTACCTCAATGTGCACCCAAAGCCAAAGAATTATGGTTTTCTTCTATAGTTGTGCCTGAGCATTGGTGTTGGTTATTCAACAATGATTCTTATTTTGATTTGGTTTTCTCATCAAGGCTCCAAGGATCATCATCCTATCCTCATTGGAAGCTCATCATCAACATTTAGGATCTCTCCTAATATCTTTCTCTACAAGGCTTTCCTATCAAGAAGTTTAGAAGATTTAATCAAGGGATTTCTTTCTTGCGATGTTACTTGTAAAGTGATTAAGGATTGCTTTAAGTTTTCATAAAGTCAATATATGTTTTGTTGGTTGGGATATGGGTTAGGAGCTCATTTATGTCTCATTTTCAAAAGGAACTTGGTTGCTTCTGGAATTTATGATTCAATTTGAGACTAGGTTTCACCAGTCGGATGACATGTATTTGTTTCATGCTCTCATGGAATATTGACGCTAGAATGCACACGGGCTATGTTGCATATTTTGTTCTCGAATTAATTCAAGCTAGAAGTAGTTCATCAATCTATTATGTTTTAAAAGAATACTTGAAAAGAAAATTACATTACAAAAAATATAGATCATCTCAATCAGAAGAATCTGAATTAGTTGTCACTGAAACACTGATGCCGTAAGTAAAGTCACACGGAGTCCTTGGAGATGATGTGTTTCAAAGCTTTAATGTTGGTGAGCTTGATGAATCTCTTGTAGCTATACACGTGAATCATCAGGAAAAACTTCAACAGATTCAATCTCTAGTGGACAAGAAGATATGATTACACTAGTTCCTAGATCAAGTAAGCCAAAGCTTGTAGTGCTACAGATTTCAAATAAAAAACAGGAACAACCTAGTCCAATCTCAGTTTTAGAACCTACATTTGAAGAATACAATACAGATCTCAGGTCTTTGTAATGCATGAAAGGCGGTCGCATGGAATCACTAGAGCCTTTGAAGTCGAATTTAATTGACAAATGGATCTGCATAAATAAGACCAATTAAAAGGGAAAGCAGAATCGGTTCGCTATGAATAAAAACAAGCATATCGCTGTTAACTGGCGGAGGAAAATAAAAATCCAGCGAAACCTGCATTCAACCAAACAAACAGTTCATAATCCGTTCAAATAAGCCAGCCCTGCACTTGTGAGTTAACATCGCCAATAGTTTGCACCGATCAATGATTACTAGAGGAGTCTCGTGTTGCTTGTGACATTATAAATCATGCCCTGCTGTAACTTTTTCAAATGATGTGCGGCCCTGCATTAGTGTAGAATTAGTTCAGGAAATTTAAAGAAATAACATTTCAAAATCAAGCTCAAATGGAAAACCAGTTTAGCATAAAATAGAAAACTCCAATCTCATTTCAATTATGACTAGCAACTAATTGAAAAAACAGTTACAACAAAATTTGACAGCTCATCTTAACTACCTTAAACTATCTCAGCTAACTTGCAACTAACTGCTAACAGAAATCTCACTGACAGTTTTTAACAAAGTTAACATCTCTAACTGACAAATCTACACCATTGATCTCTTAACTGATTCTCATGATCTATTGGCCCAAATGGATTGATTCATAACTAAATTCAGAGAGTCATGTCCTATATAACAGAAATTCAGAGATTTCCAAAGGGGAGGATTCATAACGGAAAATATGAGAAGCTATCAAGAACTCACCTCTGAGATTCTCTCATCTCTTTACATTCTCTCTGAAGTCTCTACTTCCTTCAATGTTTGCATTAATTCTTCAACGTCTTCAATCGTTATCTTCCGCGATTCATATTTTGAAAATCACATATCTCTGTAAATCGTACTAAAATATACAAATCATCATCATCTTCATCCAACTTCAATCTTCATCACATTACACCTTCAATCGCATCAATGTAAACATCAATTTTTGAAGCTTCATCACACACCACCGAGTCTTCATCTTCACCCTTCATCTTCTACAACAAAATGAACCAAAGATTACATCATTCTCACTCACAACCGAGAATGCAAACATGAAGAAGAAGAGGATACGAAATGGAAAATGCATACCTGATTCTAAGCTGAAGAAGCACCTGACATTTTCTCCAGTAGGTAAGATCTATATCTTCCTTTCCCTCTTCGATTTCGTGCGGTTCATGTGAGTTTGATTCCAAATGATTTGATATGGAGAAACATAGATGAATTTTGATGTTGAATCGAAACGAGAAGCGAAATAAAGCTGAGACGGGGGGGGGGGGGGGAAATCCTAAAAGGTTGAGGTAGAGATGAGTTGTTGTGGTGGTGTTCTGTGGCGGTGATGAAGAAGGAGTTTGATTTGGTGCGCCACTGTTAAAAAGAAGAGAATGATGAGTTCTCATGAAGTCCAAACGACACAATTTCTCTTAACCATATCCTCTGAAGCCAAACGCATCGTTCATCCATTTTCTTTCTTTAATTGTTCTTATTTTTAATTAAAAAAATGTAAAGAATTTGATTCTGATTTTGGGTTTGGACCGAATGTGAAGGTAATTCGTTTGAACCTTCCTACCACTCCATTGCTAAACGCACATCCTTGGCCCTTATCACATTTTTGGACACATAATGCTTGCATAAAAAAAATGGTTTTGGACTCCAGTTGATTTGGGCTGAAAATTTTTTTTGAACCATACCACTGACCTGGCTCACACCCCTCCTGAGCCCAATAATTGGTTTTTTGGCTGAAGTGAGTAGTTATTGTTGGACGTGTGATGGTGGACTGGGCTTGAATTTAAATTTCTTCAAACACACCTGAATCCAGTTTACACCCCTGTGTAGAGTTGTGTTTAGCTTTTCTTTATTTTTTATATATAATTGTTAGATAATAATTTTTTTAATAATTGATGTAATAAAAATATAAAAAAATGTTAGATTTTAGGAGACATCTTTAGGAATTAACTTGTGATTATCCGATTACTCGATACTTGTGATTCACCTTTGTTTGTCGAGATCTGAGTCTTATGCAGGTTCATTGTGTGATATGTGAATATGCTTGAGTTTTTTATTATGATTTATTTTCACATTGATGATGCCTCGACACTTATTTAGAGAATTCGATCTATGACTGTTTGTTTGTTGATGCTAGCTCGCACGAAGTATTCCGGGTTTCTTTGCTTCAATTGCACTTTTTGCAGACATCATTGTTCGTTTGGTATTAATTGCTTCCAATTCATCTTTCCGCATGTTATTGGTTTCTAGATATTGCCAGAATTAGGATAATAAAGAGCATGCGCTCGAAGTCGTTGTTTAAAGACATGTAGCGGGAATTCCACACTTGTTTTCTAATTGTGTTTGTGCTTGTTTTCATGGATTTACGATCGATGATGTTACTCAATTAGAATTGAGATAACGACTTTGATCTTTGCATGCTCCCTTTAGGATTTTCATTTTCCTTTGTTGACGATCAATGATGTCACTCAATTAGAATTAAGATAACGACTTCGATCTTTGCATGCTCCCCTTAGGATTTTGATTTTCCTTTGTTAACAATTAATGATGTCACTCAATTAGAATTGAGATAATGACTTTGATCTTTGCATGTTCCCTTAGGGTCGCTCGATTAGGGTAGCTTTCGAGCTAGACATTTGGATTATTATCCATGCATGCTAACATAGGGTAGAGATTTCCCTTTTCATCCTTGATATAGGGCCACCATTGTATGATAACACTATGGTTTAGACTCTAGATAATCTCCCTTAGGTGTTTTCTTCCCATTTTGCATAATTGCATTTAAAACAAAAAACTTCTTTTTCTTGGAAAATGTATAAAACATTCTAACCATACAAAAAACTTTTTCGCGATAAAAAAACACCAACCAGTTAACTTCTTTTCGCCATTCGACTTTTCTCTTCTAAGAACATGTTGATTCCTTTCCACTACAGTGCGTGAGTCTCCAATGGTCGAGCGATGGTAGAATGATTGGATTTTACATTGTTCATTTAAAAAATACAAACAAACAGAAATTTGTGAGCCGAACTACGACACTCTAATTCCTTAAAAGGAATACATAGGCATCTGGTCATTGGGCTCAGCCGAGCGAACTTTGTAAATATTTCCTTCTTTTCCCCATCTTTTCTTTGCATGCATTCCCTCTTTGCATTTTTCTTTTAGCTCTTAAACATTAGATTGAACACATCCTTTGATTAGAACAACAAGAGTGGATCTCGTAGAGTACTACAGACGTGTGGGGTGCTAATACCTTCCCCCGCGTAATCGAATCCCGTATCCGATCTCTCGGTTGCAAGACCTTGATTTCTCCGTTCAGTTTTTTTCTTTGATGATTTTACTTTCCCTTTATGTGGGATAAATAAATACTCAACGATGACTTCATTGATTTTACCGCTACAGAAAAATGGCGACTTCACTGGGGACAGGTTAACCAATTGTTGGTCCATCCCGTGAGTCACTCCTAGCTCGTTTTCTTCTTTTCTTTGGGTGTTTATCTTTATGCTTTATAGCTTATACATTTTTATATATTTGAGCATATGTATGTGTGATACGGTGGCAGAACCGACTGTTAAATACTGGTTTACATTTTTTGTTTGCAAATGTCGCAGTAAGCAAGAGTCTCCATCGACTTTTCTTTTATCCAACAAGGAAAGGGTGAAAAGAACAGAAAAAGACCTTTTTTTCGAGATTTCTGAGTACGGGGGGTAGATTATAGAAAGGGAATGTGTTAGCACCCTTTCCATCCATGGTTTTCCATGGAATCTTAGGTACTTGCTCATTTTTTAAAATTGCTTGTGTTTGTGTGTTTGAAAAGCTTTGAAAATTGCCTTAGTGCGGCGATTTACTTTATGGCAACTCTTGTATCGGTCCTCAAAAGTGTGACAAAGCGTTTTGAAAATTTTTTTTGAAAAGTATGTTTGAAAGTGTGGTGTAAAAATTTATTTGAGCAAGTACCTAACAATTATCTACCTACTCGAAAAAAAGACTGTTCTTCTCCTCCTTTCCTTTAGACCATGTTATCCTACTATTAGTGAGTAGGTAACCTTAGTCGTTGGATGTTCGAGGGACTATCAAAAGGGACGTACGATCACTAAGGCAACTGAGCAAGAACTCTTAGTAACTGTCCTAAAGCCCTAAGATCACTTTTAAACTAATGCAACAATCGAGAGGGTCATCGGGGGACTAGTGATCTCTTTAGACTTGAGGACAGCCACTAAGAATTTTCACGATTCGAGAATTGTGACCGTTATTTTCCGAGGCAACCAAGTGAGGTATACCCTAAGAGTGCAAGTGTGCAACATTGCTTTTTCAGATATATTATCTTGAAGTTAGTGGTCTAATGGTTAATTGATTTATCTTGTCATGCACGCCTAAGTTACTAACAGTTATATATACAAGCATACGCAGAATATAAAAGCTAGAAATAAAGGGTCCTACGCTACTACAGAGCTTCGGGGAGGGGGATACATAACCAAAACTTGGGAGTGCGGAAATTAAAAGCAGTAAATAAATCATAAGTTAGACTATTACAAATCGGGCGCTATTACAATCAATTGAAAAGAATAATAAAAGTAATAAGCGCGCGAAGAATTGAAAGAACATCTAAACCCTAAAAATGTATAAAAGAAAATCTTTTTTGTTCTTATTTATTTATGAAAATATTAAATTATAATAATATCCTAATTAACTAAATTAAAAAAGGAAATAAAAAAATATTAATTACAATTAATTCTAATGAAACTGATATTTTTTGTATTTTTAAAGAGAAAAAGATTTGAAATTTAATCCTAACTTCTAATTAATTTTTATAACAAGTTAATGTAATTAAATTACAATAATTTACAAAATTAATTTTAATAAAAAAAAATCTAATTCTAATTTTTTGTGTTTTTTATTGATTTTATGATTAAAATAAAAACTGATTTTAAAACAATTAAAATAAGAATAAAGAAATTGAAAAAAACAAAATAAGAGTATGGGTCTGATGGTGAAAGTAGTTGGGGGGGGGGGGTGGCGTTGAATTTGATTAGGCCCAGATCAAACAGCAAGCCCAATGTCCTTTTTGATTCAGTGCAACTAGTTCTTGAGGGTCTACCATGGAGGAACGTATCTGAGGCGCTGGATCTGATCTTATAGTGATTTGATGGATGAAATCTGGAGATGTATGGGGTACGTATTGGGATGCCATGTACTAGAATCTGTAAGAAATGTTAGAAAAAATAAAAAATTGTTAGACCTGGGATCGAACCCATGCCCCTTCCCTCACACACTTGCACCTTTACCATATGCGCTATCTTGTTAATTCATATATATAATAACGCAATAATATTATAAGGGAAACAAGGATCAAATCCAGGTCATCAAAAACACACGCATTCAGTGGACCCATAGGATTTTAAACAAACCAATCAGATCCTATGAAATTGCCACGCATGCCTTTGCCTGGGTCAGAGGAGTCAACGACGCCGGAGCTGTACTCCGGTCGTCTTCTCCGGCCAAGCAAAACGGCCAACCTGAAAATACGTTAAATTCAAAGCCTACCAATAAGTCTATTCCATGTAAAATCATCCCCTGAGTTCAAATACGGGCTTAGATTTAATGGATCGTCACTATATCAAGCGTTTCGAACACGTTTTCAAGTCACGCCCTAGAAATGGCAAGCTGAGATTCAACCATTTAAGCTTGTATGCAATACGTTAAACCTGCCTTATGCAATGCCATGAACACATATATGAACATTAGATCTATTAATAACGCGTATTTAGCGAGATTGAAATAAAAAATAACATACCAATGATGATGATTGGTTATGGAGGTTTTGGACGTGGAGGCGCTTGACTATGTGCCTGATTCAACTCCTGCGAGTCTCAGGGGATGAGTGGTGAACTCGGTTTGGCCTAGAACTGGATAGAGAGATAGATTTCGAATTGCACCACTTTGAAGAAAATTGGAGTTTTTGCTAGGGTTTCTTTGAGGCAGCTACAAGTCCTCTTGTGTTCTGACTTGTGATGTATATATATGAGGGTGAAATTAGGTTAACAAATGGAGCAAGAATCCATGGCATTGAATGTGTAATTGGTTTCAAATATTTTCTTAAAAATCTTTCCAATTTTGGATATTCTTTTTCCTCTCATGGCTTGCACGATTTCCCTTGATATAATCAACATATTTTGTCCATTATTTAATAGGAAAATGATTTCAAATCAAATTTTATATTATTTCCATTATTTATTTATTTAATTTTGAATTTTAATGAACAAAATATCAAAATAAATAGCATAAATAATAGAATAATGCATGGGTGGTCTTAGAGGCCGTGGACCATGTTAGGAATAAGTTTCAAACAAGAAAACATTGGCCCATTTGAAAAAAAACAATTTTGATCAATGTTGAC